TCTATCTATCTGTCTGTCTGTCTGTCTGTCTGTCTGTCTGTCTGTCTGTCTGTCTGTCTGTCTGTCTGTCTGTCTGTCTGTCTGTCTGTCTGTCTGTCTGTCTGTCTGTCTGTCTGTCTGTCTGTCTGTCTGTCTGTCTGTCTGTCTGTCTGTCTATCTATCTATCTATCTATCTGTCTATCTGTCTGTCTGTCTGTCTGTCTGTCTATCTATCTATCTATCTATCTATCGCAAAATGCATTGTGAAAGCCAATTCATGCAATATCCTTCCCATCTTTATTTCATGCTTACAATGGCTACTACATAGTTTCTTATCCTGTATGATTATTTAGTGTGGAATAAATGTCCTCCAGTTAAACTTATACTTACTCTAAGTGTAACAGCTGGTGTCAAGGAGAGTTTATTGCAGCCATTCACGCTATGGCTCATATTAGACAAACACAGCCTGTTAGTCATGACAAATAGTCAAACTAATGCAGAGTCAAGTATAAAGCACCTGATTCAGCAGTGGTTTGCATAAGGGTTTTGTGGTTTAGCATTTCTCTTCCAAAGTTCACAGATACAGAAAGGTTCCCACATAAAACCTTTTCCTGTTTTCTCTCTCGGTCCATCTGTATTTTTCTATTTCAAATGCAGTGACACATAAATGTCCTTGATCTTCTTTCATCCCTTCCCCCTTTCTCTCTCTCTCTGTTTCTCTGAGCCGGGATGTTGTCACTCATTTGAGGGCTGTGTCCGTTTCCGGTACCTGTTCGTACCTGCAGCGTGTCAAGCGTAAGCCTGTCGAATCGCGATTTCGATTCAATTTCAATTTATCGTGCAGCCCTAGTTACTCTTTAAATAGTCTAAATTGCATTTCATTGCAGTCACTTTTCTTCTTAGTTTTTTTTTTTTACTTAAAATCTTTGTGAAAAGTTTCTGTTATTGTTTTTTTTTTTTTTTTTTTTTCAAAATACGATTTTTCAAATTATTTATATCTGCCTTAATGCACTAAAATAACAAAAGCAGTCAAATGTCAAAAGGTTCAGCTTTAATGACAAAAAGAAGTATTCAAAATGTATAATTTAACTTACAACCTGCAAAGGCGTGGAAAAATAAGTTCAAATACTCTGTATAATATCAAAGAAATAAGCACTTTGGATGTAGTAAAACTGGTCATGTTTGCATTTTTTTTTCTGTCACTGGCCTCAATTCTCACCTTGAAATCAGGATTAGGCATGACATAATGTCTTTAGAATAATTCATGCATTAAAAAATGAGCTGAGAATTGAAGAAACAGTTGTAATTTGTCTCAGAGAAAGACAATGAATCATGTCTTTGTGCAGTTTTTCTTTTGATTTAGGGACAATAAAAAACTTCTTCATTTTGTCGAAAAGCAAAAATGCTATACTGCATCGTATTTCGTGAGAAGGTGTAAAACAGGCACTATGTTTGGAATCAGCACCTAAAAAGTAGTAAGAAACAACAAGTATTGGATTTCATTCAGCAATGATGCAGGGAGATATTATTATTATTCAATAGAATCCAATTCCTGTCACTGCATACACACGAGTCAGTGTATTCACATCAAATACTGTTAAACAGGATGTGAGGCGTTCTGGAATCATTCGGAATCTCGAGCTGTCTAGGCTTGTTTTTACTCACTCGTAAATTTGCTTATCCTTTCATTTTGGAACTTCTTTTCCCTACATGCATCTCTGTCGGTCATGACAGGTCTTGATCCACCCAAAACTCACAGAATTTGATTAACTTGGTGAATATGGCATCCATCCCACAGACATGCGCACGCGTGTGTGTGTGTGTGTGTGTGTATACAGAAGTTTTAGATAGACATACACTTCGCTACATTTAAAAAATTTGGGGTCTGTAAGATTTTTAAATGTTTTTGCAAGTCCCTAATGCTCACCAAGGCTGCATTTATTTAATTACAGTAAATTACAGTAAAAACAGTAATATTGTGAAACTTTATTACCATTTAAAATAAGTTTTCTATTTTAATATATTTAAAATGTAATTTATTCCTGTGATGCAAAGCTGAATTTTCAGCATCATTACTCCAGTCTTCAGTGTCACATGATCCTTCAGAAATCATTCTCATATGCTGATTTGCTGCACAAAAAATGTCTTATTATCAGCATTCCAAACTATTGTGCTGCTTCATTTTTTTTGGGGGGGGGGGTCTAAACTGTGAGGCATTTTTCATCAGGATTTTTTTATGAATAGAAATGTTCAAAAGAACAGCATTTATTTGAAATGTCTTTACTGTCATTTTTTTAACAAAAAAAAAATCTTCCTGACTGCAAACTTTTGAATGGTGAAATTAGTCTGTATAAAGTTTGGCGGTGTGTTTTAGTTCAGTAGTTGCTGCATGACTCATGGCTTGTTACTAAAATATCACGGGACGACTCTAATAGTGCTCATAGAACAGCAGAGCAGTCATTTAGTCCTCTCCTAAATTTCCCTAGTGATTAACTGCAATTTAAAATGAAAATGAATTTAAAATTCAAGCTGCGCATCATCGTTTTCTGATGTACATGCAAATTCTGGTTAAGCATTATGCTGCATTTTTAGCAATTCTGCATGTAGTCTATTTCTAGGCTTTTTTACAGTTTCCTTTATCACATAGATCATTTATGTTTGGAGATGAACAGATGTCAATTAATATTTCAATACTATAGAACATTACAAATAAGGTGTTGTTTACATGACCAAGAATTCCAGTGAATTCCACTTGGATAGTTGTGTTAAATAACAGGTGCATAATTGGAATATGACCAAATTCCAATAATAATCCGATTTTCATGTTCATATACATGTAGTCATTGCAACAGGGCTGTTTCCTCTACTATTTCTTTACTCCTTTAAATCTAGTTCCACCATTGTTTCAACAAGTCGTTGAAAACTTATTGTGAGTTATGTATTTCTACTACTTTCGCATGCCTTTGAATCCAAGTTCATTTCTATTTCATCTGTGGGTTTTCAGTTAAACATTAGCATGAATGATGAATGTTAAAGGAACACTCAATTATTTTTTAAAATAGGCTCATTTTTCAACTCCCCTAGAGTTAAACAGTTGAGTTTTACCGTTTTCGAATCCATTCAGCCGATCTCCGGGTCTGGCGGTAGCACTTTTAGCTGTAGCTTAGCATAGATCATTGAATCTGATTAGGGTGCAGCAGGCGCAATGATATTACGCAGCGCCTGAAAATAGTCCCAGCTAGGTAACTTCCAATAAGCCTATTTTCAGAAAATCTTTATATACTGTACTCCTTCATGTAAATGACTACTTTTTAAAGATAAAGTTATTTAAAGATTTATTTTTTTTGGCGCAAAGATAAAGTTATTATCATTAACTAAAAACTAAGACTACAACAAACAAACAAACAAACAAACAAAAATTTTGGTTAATTGCAATAAAGCTGGAATGTAAATATTAGTTGAAAACAAACAACGAAAATTATAAAGTGAAATGTGCATGTTTAAGTTGCAAGTATAAGCACTAAATTTTCTAACTGAAAATAAATCATTAAAGCTGAACAATGCTATTTTAGTATAATTGAGATACTATTATAGATTATATTAATATTTAGTAATATATTTATATTTAATATATATTATATTATATTATATTTTAGTCATTTTTATACATCATTATACTAAATCAAAATTAGAAATGTTGCCTTGGCAAATATCTAAAATAAAATAATTTAGTTTATTTATATATTTTGCTTAATTTTAGTTCAAGTTTATTTCAAGTAACAAAAGTTTTTTGTTTTTTTTTAGTTTAGGCTTTAGTTCTGGTTAACTATAATAACCCTGCAACTGAAATACAAATAAATTAAACCTCGATAGTAATATTTTTTGGTGGTTTGGTGGCAAGCTGTTTATAAAAGTAACTTGATCAACCAGCATGGTCTTCCTAGTGGAGCTGGTTTAGCTAGTTAAAAAGCCTGGTGGCTACACCAGCATCCACAACCCAACATATAAAGCTGGTCTTTTCAGCAGGACTTCACTGTAATCTGAGTTTTGAAGTACGTCTGTGTTGGTTTGCTCTCATTAAACCCTTCAGGGTCAGTTGAAGGACGGTGAACCCGAGGAGGATGGCGTTGCAGAGCAGGACACAGAGAATCTCATCGGGGAAACCGACGAACAAACTGAAAACAACGACACTGTTGATGAGTAAGAAATATCTACAACATGATTCCTCATCACTTTCATTGCCACAATCAACCTTCAGTTGTCTTTTGAACATCTGAGTATCTCATTTAGAGCAGCGTTGTGGAGCTACTAACTAAAACTAGCAATGCTACTGACTTTTCAGTGTCTGTCGCTTTTCCAGCAACAAGTCATTTTCATTTCCCTCTGTGTCAGGTGACAAAATTACGATAATGCTGTATTTTTACGTTCTGTGTATACAGTCTTGCAGCCAAATGTGTTTATGAGGGAATAATAAAACTCTCAAGTCTCCTAAAAAGCCCTCAACTAACTTCAGCAAATTTTGTTTAGATGATTCATTATATTGAACTGTTTCATTATATTAACTGTTTCAAAAAAGCGATTCAGTGATTAATCACTCAATATTTAATCTTATTATTAAATTATTTTGTTAAATGCTGCTTTTTATCTACATGTTTATATTGAATTAGCATTTTATAGTTTTATTACTGTAAATTTGTGTGTTCAAGTTTGATGTCATCCTACATGAGATCCACACTTGTTATATTTTGGATACATTTTGTTTTTATTAATCAAAGGAATTACATAACTCGCAATGTTACACTAACAGATCCAGTAGCTTGTAGTTTGACAGTGTTAGTTTTGTTATTATTGATATATACTATTATAATTTTTTTGTTCGTTTTTTCAAAATTAGGGTCAACTAAATTTTAGTTAAATGTTTGTTTGTTTTTTTGTAGTTATTGTTTTTTTTTAATATAATATAATATAATATAATATAATATAATATAATATAATATAATATAATATAATATAATATAATATAATATAATATAATATAATATAATATAATATAGCTGATTGTGCACCTGTTAATGTGTGTATATCTTTGCATGTGTTTTGCTGGATCAGTCTGCAGCTCCTCTGTTGGACTCCAGCGTTTTCCGTTCGAAGGTTGATCTGGGAAAGAAACGGAGCATAAAGCGCAGCAGACCGTCTCGTGCCGTCCGACAGAGAGCCGTTCTGCCCGCTCTGACAGAGGGAACGCAACCCGACTGGAGGTTCTGCGACTCCACAGGTGGGGTCAACACATCACATCATTTTACATCGAATTGTAACTTTGTGTCACATGATGTTACATTTTCAGCCTAAATCCTTTAGAATCTGTGTGACTCAACTGTAAAAACTATACACACCTTTGACCGATTGAACAAAAGCAGTCTGTTACAGATGCGAAAGATCAGTGTTCCAATGGAGCGGACTCTGAATCAGAAGAGGAACTGTCCCGGGACGTCACGTCCTCTCCAGCCCCAAACCAGCCCAAGAGAGTCCCTGTGTTTCCTGGGATGGACCCTTCTGCCCTCATGGTATGTGCCTGCTGGTATATGTCCAGTTTTGGATGCCTAACTAACTAAACCACCTGGAGTTAGGTTTAGGCTTAGGCTTGGTGAATTGAGCGTTTTCCGTTCGAAGGTTGATCTGGGAAAGAAACGGAGCATAAAGCGCAGCAGACCGTCTCGTGCCGTCCGACAGAGAGCCGTTCTGCCCGCTCTGACAGAGGGAACGCAACCCGACTGGAGGTTCTGCGACTCCACAGGTGGGGTCAACACATCACATCATTTTACATCGAATTGTAACTTTGTGTCACATGATGTTACATTTTCAGCCTAAATCCTTTAGAATCTGTGTGACTCAACTGTAAAAACTATACACACCTTTGACCGATTGAACAAAAGCAGTCTGTTACAGATGCGAAAGATCAGTGTTCCAATGGAGCGGACTCTGAATCAGAAGAGGAACCGTCCCGGGACGTCACGTCCTCTCCAGCCCCAAACCAGCCCAAGAGAGTCCCTGTGTTTCCTGGGATGGACCCTTCTGCCCTCATGGTATGTCCCTGCTGGTATATGTCCCGTTTTGGATGCCTAACTAACTAAACCACCTGGGGTTAGGTTTAGGCTTAGGCTTGGTGAATTGAAAAGACCGTACTTTACAAAAAGCCTATAATAAATTTAGTGTTGCAGTGACTCATGAAACACCAGTCACACCTTCACATAACCACACTCCCAGTTTCCATTTTTGACACACTGCTCTGCAGACAGAGCAACTTTATTTTACCCATCCATCTGAAATACACTACTGTTTAAAAGTTTGTGAGTAGCAATAGTGAAAAAAATGTTTTTGAGAAAGTTTTCTACTAACCAAGACTGCATTTATTTGACCGTAAATACAGTAATATTGTGAAATATCACTACAATTTCAAATAACGGTTTTCTGTTTGAATATATTTTAAAATGTAATTTAATCCTGTGATCAAAGCTGAATTTTCAGCATCATTACTCCAGTCTTCAGTGTCACATGATCCTTCAGAAATCATTCTAATGCCAAAGAAACTTTTTTATCAGTGTTGAAAACAGTTGTTTTTAAGCGTTATATCAAAGCCAGATTGTGATGTTTGTGGTTTCTTGTCTACTTATTTAAATCATATTTTGTTTACCACCTTTTTAGTAGCAGTAATTGTTTAAAATTATTTAATTACTAAAACAATCTATATAACGATAGTTTTTATGCCTCTGGTTTCAGCTGAAAATAAGATAACAGATTTTTTTAATGATTTATTTTACTTTGGAGTAAAGTATTTTTAATATTGGTCTGTGGCTATGCTGACAAACCAGCATAAATCAACTAACATAAAACATTAATTTCTAAGTTTGTCTCGTCTTTCTCTCGCAGGCCCAGCTAAAGCGGAGAAGTGCAGTGATAGAAACAGAAAGTCCAACAGAAGCAGTCCCCTCACGCTCTCCCCGCACACCCACCATGGCCCTCGGCCCCAGAGTGCTGCCCCCTGTTGACGCCAAGGACAGTGGGTACGTGTGACCAGAAACTTTTAGTAAAAAACTATTTTATATTGCTTATGGAATGTGATGCAATCACATTTTCATTGTCAGATGAGTGCATTTTATAACTCTACAGAGCAGATTTAACTCTGTAAAGCCTACTGTATCGTATTTGATACATTTCTAAGGCTTCCAAATGATCAACATGATCAAAACTTTACAGAAAAACCTGTTGTACACAATTTACTGCATGCCTTCTGTCGTCTGTTTGATAGCTCATACTTTTTAGCAAGTAAAAGGTGTTTTATTATAATTGTAAAAACGTCCACTTTCTATGGAAGCCCATTTTCGCCACTGAATAAATTTTTTTTAAAAAGGTTATTGCGACTTTTTATCTCACAATTCTGACTTTTTTCACAGAATTGTAAGATAAAGAACTTTTTTCTCGCAATTGCGAGTTTATATCTCACCAATTACCTTTTTTATTTTTTATTCAGTGGCGGAAATGGGCTTCCATAGCTTTCAGCTCGTGGTTGACATGTTTTTTTGTTTGTTTGTTTTTTGCTGTGAAAGCTTTACTGATTTTTATGAAGTAAACGTAAGAATAACTTTCATATTGTTAATAATACAGTAGTCAACATTTGAAGTGGATCAAAACATTTCATCAAAGTTGTCCTAAAACCTAAAACCAAAATGCGTTCTTTTCTTTTCTTCATCAACTTTGATTAACTTTTTTGATCCACTTCAAATGTTGACTACTATATTTATATATTATATATATATATTTGATTATCCAGACATAAAAATGTGATTATCAAATATGATCATCAGGTTTTTGAGGAGCGTTTATTTGTTCATCTCTCAATCATCATTGTATTGCATTGCATATGTTTAGATCATAAAACTATTTAAATACCATCATTATTGGAGTGATAACTGATATTTATATGCATATTTCATCTTACTTTTAAGCCATATAAATATCAGCATCTGCACCAAATTGCATGTATTTGCTCCCTTTGGGCCTCTGAATAAAACTGAGGGTTTTTTTCCTCCACTTTCACTATATCATAATATATGTACCATAAAAGCCTAATATATCGGATATCATAAAAATAAAATAAAATTAAACTCATAAAAAATATTTTTAATAGTTTGTCCCAATGGTTCAGTAAACGGTTATAGACAGAAATCGATTTTTTTGACTATTATTTCATATGTCGAACTTTAAAGGATTCATTTCATAGTGCTGTTTCAAATGTTTGTTTTATTGCTCTAATTATCCTTGATACACATTATGGTGCTTCATTTAGCACATTTGTCTGAATACATAATGATGAATTGAATAAGAATGATCTGAATTATGTCAAATGTAATAATTGTGATTAATGTAAATCCAGGTCCGGCTCTTCACCCTCCTGGCTGCTTGAGCTCAAATCCAAGAAGCGAATGAGTCAACCTGAGAGTGAAGCGTGAAGCTCAGGTCAGAGTATGTGCTGGAATCACCCGTCCAGTCCTCTGATTCCCTGTTAAAGGGGTCATCGGATGCGACATGCACTTTTACAAGTTGTTTGAACTGAAATGTGTATTGGTAGTGTGTGTACACAACCACCCTATAATGATAAAGATCCACCCAGTGTTTTTTTTTTATCTGGTTAAATGTTTTCCCCTTTCTCAAATCGAGCCGATCTCAGATGCCTGTCTGTGTGACGTCACCATAGACTGTATAAAAACATGGACGTAGTGTCCGTGACGTAACCCGTAGACTTCCGACGAGCGTTTTGAAGCCTAAAGTAGGCGGAGCCAGCCGTCGCCATCTTGGCAGCGCGTCACCGCGTGTCACTCCCGGATAATCGAAAATGGGCAAAGAGGCGGGAGCTGGCTGCTGAAACCACGCCCACCTAGCTCGACGGTGGTGACAGCAGCGGCAATCCACCTGTCAGTGGCCACGCCCTTAATTATGCAGAACTTTAAGGCTTAATATAATTTAAACGGATGAGTTATAAAAAAATTCACCCCCCTCACAGTTGTCATGAAGGGCAAAATTAGCTATATAAACCAAAATCATTTTTTGAACCAGGCTGTAAACATGTTTTTTTCTGCTGTAAAGTTGGGCATTTTAACATGGGGAGTCTATGGGATTGACTCCCTTTTGCAGCCAGCCTCTAGCGGCCAGTTGATGAATAACAGTTTAAGTCACTTCCTTGTTGGCTTCACGAGAGAGAGCGGGAGGTTGCCGCTTGACGGTGACGCGCTGCCAAGATGGCAACGACCGACTCCGCCCACTTTAGGCTTCAAAAATGCTCTTCAGAAACCAACGGGTGACATCACGGACACTACGTTAATGTTTTTTTTTTTTTTTTTTA